GGACGGGGTGATCAGCACTCAGAGACAGCCAGTAAAAGGAGTAGGCTGTGTGTAGGGGTAAGCCAGACACAAACTGGACCAGAGCAGGGTCACAATCCCAAAGCTGTGAGCAAGAAAAACAAAGTTGTTTAAAACCAGGCAGAGGAGGAGTCAGTGAACTAAAATGGGGAATGTGTGAGGCAGAGAACCTGAGAGGCAGCAGGGATTGGAGTCTGCCTCTTCCAGATAGGAGGTTTACTCTCTGCAGAAGCTCCAGAAGAAAAGATGCCAGAGAGCGGGAGTAGGACCAAAAGTAAGTATAATCGGTAGTGATAAAACCTCCAGCCTTCTTCTCCCACCACACTCCCAGCATGCTATCCGCAAATGTTTTACGCTCCAGATAGGAGACTGGAGGATTCTTCTCTAGAACAGTGGCCTGTAAATACTATATATTTGGATAAGTAATTATTAAGCATAAAAAATACAATCTTTCTGGAAATGCTTCTTTTAATAAGGTAGGTATCCCCCCTTTAATTCCTAGATCCATGAATGATTACTATTTCTAAAATGAGACAGGATTCAGTAACATTTCATCCTATTTTTTGATCTTATAGAAATAAGTGTTGAGAAAATTTGTTCACATAAATTAGTAGACATGAATGGAAGAAATTTTGTTCCATCACTCACTTCTGAATTAAATATTAAAAATCACACAGTGATTTATCATTAAACATTATTTTTAATAATCTGTCAGTCAACAACTCAATTAAGTTCTTTAATTGTGTTGAAAGCAAATAATTGGAAACCTGACTAGAAAAAGCTTCATTACCTGCTGGAATCATTCATTTTAATTAAATATTATACTTTTCCTTAGAGGTGCTTTGCCAAACTCATTTACTCAGAAAGGGCTGGGGAAATAAAAATGTTAATTTTATATACCTTTCACTGTATATTTTTGATAAAAATTTTGTTTGATATTTTGATAGACCAGACAGAAGCATTACCATGAAAGAACATGCCACAGCCTTGCATATTTCCTACCAAAACTCTTTGCTTTGCTTTCAGAAACTCTGCATTAAAAAAAAAAAAATAATAATATTATAATAATAATAATTGTGGGGAATGGAACAAGCAAAGTCTTTAAATAAAAGAAATATTTAGAGTTGTCCTTTTGTTGGTATCCTGAAGACATTTATACCCTGGGGTGATATATCAGAGTACTATTCCTTTTCTATAGTTGGAAATGGGTGATTATGGATTCTCTTAAAATTATCTGTGCTTATATACCTCTTAGAGGGGATACTTGTACCCATCCCAACTTGAAGACCACTGACTCACACTAAGAAAGTGGAAAATGTTACATCCAGGTAGCTGGAAATTGTTACAGGGTAACGTGAAGCAGAGCCTGACAGGCCTACAGAGCAACCACTCCAGAATGGAGTTAGATAATAGAGGACTCCAGGACAGACGTCTCCAAGAAGAAGATGGAATGGATGGATTACCTGATATACTTGATGGTACTGAGCAAGGCTTTATGATTTGGTTGGAGTTTAGAGGTTCTATTTTTCACCAGTACTTACTGATGAACTTGGTAAAGCTCAGTGGTTAGCTAGCTGAGAAAACAAACACGGTACAAAAGAAGGGGTGTGTATATGATGGCAAGGCGCTGATGAAAAAGATATATACCTACAGGGAATAAAGTGGCAGTAATAAAAATGATAGCAGCATATCAAAGACAAATATTTCCTGTTTTGCCGACAGAAGGTATGACAATCACCTCGTGTTCACCTTAGCAGGTGTAGCCTTGAGAGTGGTTCATTAATGCGAGAGCACGTGGAGGCAGCCAAATGTGAGCTTTGAAGAACTCTGCTATAATGGTACTCCTAAAGTACAGAGTCTACTATCTATAGTCTCTGCTTTTTCATGAATTTATTAGTCTGTCTCAAAGGCTAGATCCTGACTACCTGCATTAAAATCACCTAGTTTTCCTGACAAAAAATGCAAAATCCTGGCTCTATCCCATACATATAGAATTGGAGACGGGTGGGGGATGGGATGGGAGAGATGAAATCCTAGAATCTGCATTTTAAGCAAGAACTTCAGGGGATTTTTATACACTTTTGAGTGTGAAAGGCATTGCTTTAAGTCCTTAAATGAGGGTGCAGATTAATTGTAACTGGAAGTCTGGTCCCTTTCCTACATCACGGAGCAGTCCTGCAGATTCCAGCTGCAGATATTTTGCATAGGCAAACATACTGTGGAATGTTTAAGGCCCAGGGCTAGATTTCCTGAACCCTTCCTCTCCTACCACAGTGATTATCTCAGTCTTGGGACTATGGAGAAATGAATTTTTAATTTCCTTCTCCTCTTTTCCCCCAAACAGTATCCTCCTTTGAATTTTAACAGATACTAAATCAATGCAGACATCCTGTTAGACCTTCAAACTTCTTAAAATAGGATGCTATCTACGCTTTTAAAAATTCAATTAAGCCACCATCTATTAGATACCCATACAAGGTCCTACTTCTAGGTTGGGTGTTATAGCACACACTATTGAAATGACGACTGACAACCTCTGATTATGGCAGCAGTTAGGAGCTCTTCACCTCAGTCTGATGGCCCAGCACATCAGTTCCATGAAGTCCATTCAGAATGGACAGAAAACCAAATAGTGTCAGGGCACTCGGATTATATCATGAAGGCCTCAAGTTTGGGGAATTCTAAGAACCCAAGCTAAAGCTAATATGGACCAATCCCTTTAGGAGTAGCTTTTCTTAGAGCATTATAGGGGAGAAGAGATTTCTTTTCTCACCCACTGCTATAGGTTCATGACTGAGGCACCTATAACAAAAGGCAGATGAAGAAGAGAAAAACATACAAACTCATTTAGCTTAAGTTTTGTGTGACATGGGAGTCTTCAGAAATGAAGACCCAAAGAAACAGGGAAACTTGTATATTTTTATGAATACTCATGCAGAAGTACAACTGGAGGACAAAAGGATATGATCTAATGGTAATACACTAGGGGAAACTTAGCAAGGCCTGTTTGTTCAGATTATTAGTGTCTTTGCGTCTTCAAGGATAAAGGGTACCTCTGGAATGAAGGTTTTATGACTCACTTCAGGGAAAGGTCACCTAGGTTTTATAGCCTGCATTAGAGGAGAAGGGGTAAGGGGAAGGTAGGAGTGACCTTGCTTCTGCTGTTTTCTCAAATACCAGGGTGTTACATTTTGGGATAGTGTGTCCTGAACCCCATCAGCATTAAGGTGGAAAGACCAGCCCAAATCCTTAGTTGAATTCCAGCTAAGAGTTTTACCCACCTAAGGAACAGCTGAATGGCCACACGTATGCCTTCACATCTGGGCACCTCCACGATGAGTGAGAATATTGGTTAGAGCTCTAAATTACAATAGGAAAA